TTATTAAAAAAACTCAAGTTAAATTTTATTTAATATAAAAAATAAAAACAATGAATAATATTTTATAAATAATCTATTTTTCTAATTTAAATTATTTTTTTAATTCTTTATTTAAAATTAAAAAATATAAAAATGAATATTTTACTTAAAAACAAAGAAAGAAAATTAAATTCAAATTTTGTTTAAATTTATCCCATTCTAAAATTAAAAAAAAAGGAGAATAATATTTTATAAATAATCCATTTTCCCAATTAAAACTAATTTTTTTAGTTCTTTACAAAAAATATGCAAAAATAATTTTTTACTTAAGAAAAAAATCAAGTTGATTTTTATTCAAATTTATTTAATATGATAATAAAAAATAATAATATTTTATAAATATTTAACTTTCTCCATTCGAATTAGATTTTTAGCTCTTTGTTCAAAAATAAAAAATACCAAAAAAGAAAAAAGAAATCTTACTTCAAGAAAAAATAAAAAAATTATGTCATATTTTATTTAAATTTATTTAATACGAAAATAAAAGAAAAACAGTATTTTTATATATATATTCATTCCTTTAATTCAAATTTTTTTAATTGTATTTCTAAAAAATATTTATAAAATTAAAACTTAAAAAAATTGTTAAAAATGAGAAACAAGATTAAAAAAAATGATAAATCAGAAAAAAAAAACATCAATAGTTTTCTTTTAAAATGAAATAAATAATTTTTAAAAAGTTGAAATGATTCTTGCACAATTAATTAGAAAGTAACCGTTTTAATCAACGGACACCGTAGGGTGCTAATACCTACCCTACGCGTAAACAACTCTCGAGCCCAAACATGGTTTCAAAAATTATTTTATTAAAAGTTTTTTCAATATTTTTTTCTTTAATAACTTTGGTGGCGACTCTTTGTCATGGCCGTCCTATCGTGCCCCGGTTGCAACAGATGGCGACTCCACTAGGGACTTTTTTTTAGAGTCAAGCTTAATCTAATTAATTGTGCAATATTTTTAACATTTTTACATATTTGTTTCACTTTTTATCTTGTTTGTATATTCCATGTATTTTATTTATTGTCTAGTGTATTTTGTAAATATTTGATATATTGTGAAACTTAGGATAAATGACCCTTGTACCATTTGTTATTTGTTCGTTGATGTTTGATGTTTAGTAGGGTAATGGTTTGTATGCTCCTTCCACACACATCACTAACACTCACCTCACACACATTTGGGCTTTATACCCGAGCTTGTGCGAGCCTAGGAATAGAAGATGCCTTGACTGCTGTTATTGAGGGGCTTGATGCCCACTTTGCCGTCGTCTGGGTATCGCTCAGGTTGTTACTAGCATCATGACTTAGTCATATTGAGAGACCATGTCCCTACTTGTGGCTAGGTTATGAGCTGGGTCCTTATAATTTAATAGGGGCAATTTGGGGGCCATAATAGACTTAGGGATTTAGATCCACTTCAAGACCATGCGCTAATTAATGGCCATAGTGACCACCTCACTATAGGATTCTATCCAAAATAAGGACACATGAGGAGCTCACTCTCCTTTTCTCTTCATTCATCATAGCCTTAGTAACATGACATGCATACCATGAGCATACAATTTTCTTTCCTTTGCATCCAAAAATATAAAACATTGAAAAAAAATATATTCATTTTGTGAAAATCAAGGTCATTACGTTGAGCCTGCATCTGTAGGACATCTCCTAAGGATGATGGGTTACATTTCATCTCATTATTTGCAATCATCCAAATTATCATGCATTCATTAAGTTTACATATCAAACATCAATTTATTTTATTATGTTTTTCTTTTTTCATTATGCTCATTTTTTTGTATAAAATTTTTTACAAGATTTAATAGCATTCAAAAATGAGAGAAGTTCAAGGTCACATTAGCAATGCATCAGGACCAATGAGAAGTATCAAAATCATTGTGTTGAGTAATGACCTTCAAAGAGTGAATGAGATTCGCCAACATATGCCCAAAGAAGCACACTTAAACTTTGAAAGGAAATACGGTCAAATTCTCAATTTTCTTTCTATCTCAATAGAAACACCAATGTTGAGCGCTCTAGCCCAACTCTGGAATTCAAAACTCAGATGCTTGGAATTACCCAGCTCGGATCTCGTTCCTACCATAGAAGAATATGAAATGATGGTTAGACTACCAATCAAGGAAGGCAATAAGGTATATCTGTATAGAGGAAATTACGTGGGATCCAGGAAAATAGCTACTTTGATCGGCCTAAGCACAGAACGAGCCGAGTTTGAGAACAGGGGATCAGTTCAGGGTTGGAAGAAGGGCTATTTAGAAGAACATCTGGAGTCTTTATACAAGCAAGGGAACTGGGACAATTTCAACAAGACTCTCGCATTATTAATCTATGGACTAGTTATATTCCCATTCACCTCAGGTTTTGTAGACCAAGCTGCTATGGATGTATTTCACCAATATGAAACAAACAGAGTGAACCCGGTTCCCGCTATCTTAGCAGATACTTTACTTTCTATGGAAGTATGTCATCAGAGAAATGGGGTAACATTACGATGTTGTTCTCATTTACTATTTATTTGGTTCACAACCCATCTCTATGCAGCGAATCATATGGGTCAAATGTCCGATCCTCTGAGGAGTTTTCATCGCATTCCAATCAAAAAACAAGATGCTCGAGTATGGAAAGAAGACTTCTTGAGATTCAATGCTGAAAATTTTCCATGGGTATGTCCTTGGTAACACCCCAGAGACACCATTGTTAGTTACGGAAAGTTTTCAAGTGTGCCTTTGATGGGACCAAGAGGATGCATAGCATATACTCCAACCGTAGCTCTCATATAACTCAAATGGACTCAAACCAAGCCAAGGAATGAAGAATTGGGAGGACTGATCTTCCAGTATATTGAAGATTGTGCAAATAAGCGTCTAGAAGAAATCAGAGCTGCATGGGAGAATGTTAGAAGAAAGGGAGAGAAGGAACTGGGTAAACCTCATGTGACCGTCTCACCACAATATCGAGAGTGGAGGGAAGCTAGAAGAATCCAAAATCAAGCCCCTAAATCATATTGTCAAGAAAAGGAATCTTCTCAAGCACCCAATGAAGCAGTGACTTCCTTAACAACCCAGTTAGAAGGAGCAAAAGCACAAATGAGATTATTGGAAGAGGAAGGAGAATACGTCAAGGTGGAGGTTGACCGGCTCAAGAGACAATGTCAAAAGAAAGATCGAGAAATAAATCATTTAAAAGATCAATGTGCTGACGGGTTTGACGACTCAAATGGCAAAGGGACAAAAAGAAAGAGAAAAGAAGAAGCTTCTCTCTCTCCAAAATGAAAAGAATGCGAGATGAAATAAACATGCTGACTGAGGCTCTGAAGACAGAGAAGAAGGCATCCCTCTCTAAAATAAAGGGAGCACAAGATGAAATGAATATGTTAAAGAGAGAATTGACCGAGACTCTTGAAAGGGAGAGGAAATTACAAAACCAAAATGAAGCGCTTGAGAATGAGAAAGATAAATGGTGCGTTCGAGCTGAGTACAAACAGGAAAGGAAGAGGGAGTGGATGAAGAGGTGCGATGACATGTATGACTGCATCCAACGTCACACCACACAACTGTTAGAACACTTTCGAGAAGCAAAGGAAGCGTACCAGAGGAACCATGAGATTGTGTTTCCTCTTAAAGTCATTATGTTCTTCAGATATTGTAAAAACCTTGCTATGAGTTTTGGAGTGCATGTGTAATTCCTTCACTTGAAAGTGACACTGTATTTATTCTATTTGATATGGAATAAAATTTATTTGTGGCGTTCATATTTGGCTTTAATACGAATTTCACCTATTGAGGATACCCTCATTCTTAACCGAAGTGATTTGCCATGGAATGAGAGCATAAGACATATGATGCATTGCTAATGAGTAAGACTTCGGCTATTGAGAAGTGAATACTTCCTTAGACTGAGTGTCAACTACTACTCGACCTAAGAAGGATTTGCCTCTAGCGTTGAAAAGTAGGGAACTTCTCTAAAACATTGAATGTTTAACAAAAACATATTCATTCTATTAGTCTTCTTTTTACTCATCATGTTCTTTTCATAATTAAAATTAGCAAAATTGCGAATCAGACATCCTTACAGAACCCGTTCCCAGTCAAAGATCATGGACGAATTAGAACAACACAATGAAGAATTGAGAAATGAAGTCAACCAACTAAAAGATCAAATGGCCAGAATTCTGGAAATACTGCAATCTTTGGAAAGGAGAAACACTGGATCACACCAGTTAATGAAGGACCGCCTGCTACTCCCACGTATCCACCTGGCTTCACCCCCCAAGAGACAATGGCACCACTAACATTGCATCCCACTAGGCCTATCCAACAGACTAATCTTCAAGAGGCTCAATTCCCACCTTATGGCCTCCCAGCTGGCTATGCACCACCTATGGCTCAAGAGGCACAATTTTCATCATACAATAATGCACCTCCAGCTGTAAGTGATTCATTAATCACTCAACAACAATCTACCCAACCCCTAGGCATGCCCTCAAACATCACTGAAAACCCTCAAACCTTTCCAATATTGCCAAAGGATACTATTCCTAACCCACAAGTTATCCTCCAACCACAAACTATCAACCTGAGCACCCAAGGGAATCCACCTACCCCCATTGGTATTGCCAACACATCTTTTCACCCCATTATTGAAGAGTTTCAGCCAGATGAGGATGATCATTCTAAAGGGAAGTTGTAACTCTTGGAAGACAGGTTGCGAGCTGTTGAGGGTAATAGTTATGGTATTGGAGACGCAGTTGACCTTTGCTTGGTGCCAGACCTAGTAATTCCTCCAAAATTTAAAGCACCAGAATTTGATAAATACAGAGGCATTATATGTCCAAAGAGTCATCTAACCATGTACTGCAGGAAAATAGCATCGCATGCTCGTGATGACAAGTTGTTAATCCATGTCTGCTAAGATAGTCTAACTAGGGCGGCTTTAAATTGGTACATGCATCTGGAACGTACTCGTATTCGTTGTTGGAAGGATCTGGCTGATGCTTTCCTGAAGCAATGCAAGTACAACATTGACATGGCTCCTGATAGATTAGAGCTTCAAACCATGATGAAGAAGGACCATGAAACTTTTAAAGAATATGCTCAAAGATGGAGAGAGACAGCAGCACAGGTTGAGCCACCCCTTTCAGAAAAGGAAATGGTTTCCTTATTCATTGATACTCTTAGATCTCCCTATTATGACAAGATGATTGGAAGTATCTCCGCAAATTTCTCTGATGTTGTCATTATAGGAGAAAGAGTAGAAAGTGACATAAGAAGTGGAAAAATTGCCTATGCTGCAGGGGCAACTAGCATCAAAAGGCCATTGAGCGGACTTGGGAAAAAGAAAGAAGGGGAAGCCAATGCAGTAACGTTTCTCCCCTCTGGAAAAGTTGACCCTAGACCAACTTATACCCCCTATAAATCTTACCATCCCAACACACAAAACCAATCCTCCACACTCCCCATACAACCACCCCAAACCAACCAAGCCCATCACACTTATCCCAACCAAGCAAGACCCCAAAACTATCAAGACCGAAAATCAGTTCACTTTGACCCCATCCCTATCACCTATACAGAACTGTTACCTCAATTACTGCAGAGCTCAATGGTGGTGCGTTGTCCCATGAAAACCCTGGAACCCCCATATCCCAGGGGGTATGCTCCCAATGCTAGGTGCGAATACGATGCAGGTGTTGTTGGCCATTCTACAGAAAATTGTAAGGCACTAAAGTTTAAAGTGCAAGATTTGATTAATGCAGGGTGGATAAGTTTTGAGGAGAAGAATCCCAATAAAAGCAATTCTTTGCCAGGTCATCAGGGACCATCTGTCAACCTTATTGATGAAGGCAGGGAACAATTCTTGAGGAGGAAAGTTAAAGATGTGAAGACCCCATTGAAGTCCATTTTTAGAGAAATATGCGAATTTGGACTACTTGAGCGAAATTCGGAAAGAGAAAATGCTTGTGAGTTTCACCCTAATGCAGCCCACACATTGGAGGAATGCATTGAATTTACCCACACTTCGCAAGACCTTATGGATAAGCAATTAATCCAAATTGGTTGCTCCAAGATTGATCAAGAGGTGTTGGCAGTTAACGAGTTGACCTCAAATAGCCCAAAACCTTTGGTCATCCATTACACCAAGAAAAGAATTGCATCAGTATCTACTCTACCAAAGCCCATTACTTTACGAGTCCCTATGCCTTTCTCATATAAGGACAATAAAAGCGGTACCTTAGAAATACGATGTGAAAGCTTACACTAATAATCATGAAGAGAGTCAATCAGAAGACATTGATTCCCATGTTGTTAATGTTACAAATATCGCTGGTATCGGAGGTATAACTCAGAGTGGTCGAATTTATACTCCTGAGGAATTGAGGAATAAACAGTTGATAGAAAAGAGGAATAATTGTGAAAAGGAGGGCACCAAGGCAACTGACTCAATAGCTAAGGACAGAAAGGAGGAACAAAAGAAAATGGTCTCTCATGAAGAGACCTGTGAGTTTTTGAAGCTCATAAAACAAAGCGAGTATATGGTGGTGGACCAACTAAACTGAATGCCTGCTAGAATACCATTGCTGACATTGATGATGAACTCAGAACCTCATAAAAAAGCATTGTTGAAAGTCTTAAATGAAGCTCATGTTGTCCATAATATCTCAGTGGACAGGCTAGAAGGTATTGTTGGCAACATCACTGCCAATAATTATCTTACATTCACTGATGACGAAATTCCCGTGGGAGGAGCAGGACATAACAAAGCTTTTCATATTTTTGTGAAGTGTATGGATCATATCTTGGCAAGAGTCTTAATTGATAACGGCTCTTCACTAAATGTAATGCCTAAAATGACCCTAGCAAAGTTACCATCAGATGGATCATACATGAAGCCAAGCACTATGGTGGTTAAAGCATTCGATGGCTCTCGAAGAGAAGTGATTGGGGAAATAACTTTACCGGTGATGATTGGACCTATTATCTTTGAAGTAACATTCAATGTGATGGATATCGCACCGGCCTATAGCTGTCTCTTGGGTAGACCATGGATTCACTGTCCAAGGGCTGTACCTTCTACGCTTCACTAGAAACTGAAGTTTATTATAGATGACAAGTTAGTCATTATCTCAGCTGAAGAGGACCTGCTAGTGACTAAGCCTTCATCCACCCCTTACATTTTCGTCACTGAAGAGGCTCTAGAGACCTCATTCCAGGCACTTGAGATTGCTAATACGACATATGTGGGGGAGGGGACATCTGTCATAAAGCCACAACCATCAAATACAGCTATGATGGTAGCGAGAGTTATGCTTGAAGAAGGTTACCGGCCTGGATGCGGGTTAGGCAGGAATGAGCAAGGATTGATTGAGTTGCCTAAACCAACTGACAATAAAGATAGATTTGGAGTTGGTTATAGGTCAACAAGGGCAGATAAAAGAAGGATAATAGAGAGCATGAAACTGGAAGGATCCCCTTTTGTGATCTCCTACAAAGCTTTTAAAGTGCAGGATTTGAATTTGCAGATCCAGTGGCTGCTGCTGAGGAAGACACCCACAGAGATGAACATGTCAATTTTGTTCGCGCATGTTTGCTGAATATAGAGATCGGCAATTGGGAGAACATTGAGCTTCTTGTGATTTTAGATTCAAAATTCAAGTAATTTGTAATGCTGATTCTATTGCTCTGCCCAAGGCTTTAGGATATTTGTTCTTCTTTATTTTGTTTTATTGAATTAGGCGTACATGTTTCCTTTTGATATTATCAATAAAATGCATTTTGAATTTTTCAATAAAATTTCCTTCCTTTCTTATTATTAGACCTTTCGCCATCTTCTTATCTTTTTGTTATTGCAAACTATAAATTGTGCAGACCTGATGATGATATACTCAAAAATGTCAATGCTAATATCGCTCTAAATAATGTTGACTACCTCATTAATCAAGCTAGCAATGAAACTGAACATGCCCATGATCCTTCTCCTGAACTGCTAAGGCTAGTAGAGCAAGAAACTAAAGAAATTTTGCCTCACCAAGAACCTACAGAGATGATTAATCTAGGCCTCGGAGAAGAGAAAAATGAAGTCAAAATTGGCACTTTATTGAAAGAGAATGAGCGCCACAAGTTGATAAAATTCCTCCATGAATATGAGGACATCTTTGCATGGTCGTACCAAGACATGCCTGACCTCGATGCAAATATTGTGGAACATAAATTACCACTAATGTCAGAATGTCCCCCGATCAAGCAAAAGTTAAGGCGGATGAAGCCCAAAATGTCCTTAAAAATCAGAGAAGAAGTGAAGAAATAACTTGATGTCAGCTTCCTAATTGTTGCAAAATATCCACAATGGGTTGCAAACATAGTGCATGTCCCTAAGAAAGATGGAAAAGTCTGAATGTGCGTAGACTATCAAGATCTGAACCGAGCTAGTCCTAAAGATGATTTTCCACTGCCCCACATCGACATGCTTGTAGACAACACAGCCGAACACCAATTCTTCTCCTTCATGGATGATTTCTCAGGATATAATCATATCAAAATGGCAGAAGAAGATAGGGAAAAGACTACATTCATCACACCTTGGGGTACCTTTTGCTACAAAGTTATGTCGTTCGGGTTAAAAAATGTCGGGGCAACATACCAAAGAGCAATGGTGACCTTATTTCATGATATGATGCATAAAGAGATTGAGGTGTATGTAGATGACATGATTGCAAAATCTAGAAGTGAAGAGGATCATATTGTTCATCTTCAGAAGCTATTTGAGCGACTGAGAAAGTTCAAGCTGAGATTGAATCCAGCCAAATGTGCCTTTGGTGTGAAGTCTGGCAGCTACTTGGATTCATAGTTAGCCAGAAGGTGGATCCTGACAAAGTTCGAGCAATTCTTGAAATGCCACCACTTCACACAGAAAAAGAAATTTGAGGGTTCTTAGGGAGACTAAACTATATTGCCCGATTCATATCCCAATTGACCGCTACATGTGAACCGATTTTCAAGTTATTGCGCAAAAATCAACCAATGAAATGGAATGATGATTGCCAAGAAGCCTTTGAGAAAATCAAGCAATACTTACTGGACCCTCCAGTTTTGATTCCACCAGTTCCTTGAAGACCCTTAATCATGTACCTAACAATACTCGATGGATCAATGGGTTGTGTGTTAGGGCAACATGATGACTCTGGAAGAAAGGAGCATTTCATTTATTACTTAAGCAAAAAATTCACCAATTATGAAGCCAATTACTCGTTGTTGGAGCGAACTTGTTGTGCTTTAACTTGGGCAGCCCGCCGATTGAGACAATATATGCTTAGCCACACGACCTGGTTGGTATCAAAGATGGATCCGATCAAGTATATCTTTGAAAAGCCCGCTCTCGCTGGGAGAATTGGTCGTTGGCAAGTACTTTTATCTAAATATGACATTGTGTACGTCACTCAAAAGGAAATTAAAGGCAGTGCTCTAGCCAATAAATGACTACCAGTTAATGCAGTGTGAATTTCCTGATGAAGACATAATGAATTTGTTTAAAGAAGAAGAGTCAGGAAAGGAAAAATGGATCATGCTATTTGATGGGGCCTCTAATGCATTGGGACATGGAGTTGGTGCTGTGTTAATTTCCCCAGAGAAACACCATATCCCAATCACAACAAGACTATCTTTTAATTGTACAAATAATGTGGCAGAATATGAAGCATGCGTCCTAGGGATCCAAGCAGCTATAGAGTCAAAGGCCAAGATTCTTGAAGTATACGGTGATTCGGCCTTGGTGATTCATCAATCGCAAGGTGAATGGGAGACTAGAGATGGTAAGCTAATCCGTTATCAGGCTTTTGTGAAAGAGTTGATAAAGCAATTTGAAGAAATCACCTTTCATCATATCCCACGGGAGAATAATCAGTTGGCAGACGCATTAGCTACCCTAGCATCCATGTTCGAATTGAGCAACGGAAAAGATATGCCACTTATAAAGATTCAACATCGCGATTAGTCAGCTTATTGCCAACTAGTAGAAGAAGAGTTAGATGGACGACCATGGTACCATGATATCAAGCAGTATATCCAAAATAAAGAGTATCAGTCAGGAGCTTCAGAGAATGACAAAAGAACTCTAAGAAGATTGGCAATGAGTCTCTCTTTAAATGGTGAGATACTCTACAAGAAAAATCATGACATGATACTTCTTAGATGTGTGGATACCAATGAAGCACAAAAGATTATCAGAGAAGTCCATGAAGGCTCCTTTGGAACCCATGCAAATGGACATGCTATGGCAAGAAAGATCTTAAGGGTTGGCTGCTATTGGCTAACCGTGGAGATTGATTGCTTCATATACGTAAAAAAATGTCACAAATGTCAAACTTATGCAAATAACATCTATATCCCACCAACAATATTAAATGTCTTGTCATCACCATGGCCTTTTTCAATGTGGGGAATGGATGTCATAAGGCCCATTGAGCCTAAGGCATCAAATGGACATCGTTTCATCCTAGTAGCAATCGACTATTTCACCAAATGGGTTGAAGCCACCTCATACGTCAATGTGACTCGAAATGTAATAGTGAGGTTTATCAAAAAGTAATTAATGTGTCGATACGGCCTACCAAATAAGTTGATCACGGATAATGCCACTAATCTCAATAACAAAATGATGACAGAGTTATGTACTAATTTCAAGATTCAGCATCATAACTCTTCTCCATACCGCCCAAAAATGAATGGAGTAGTTGAAGCAGCTAACAAGAATATTAAAAAGATTATTCAGAAAATGATGGTGACGTATAAAGATTGGCACGAAATGCTTCCCGTTGCCCTACATGGATATCGTACGTCTGTCCACACATCAACCGGGGCAACTCCATTCTCCTTGGTATATGGTATGGAAGCAATTCTTCCAATTGAAGTTGAAATCCCTTCACTAAGGGTGCTGATGGAAACTGAATTAGAAGAAGTGGAATGGGTACGAACTCGTTTTGACCAATTAAACCTTATTGAAGGAAAAAGGTTAAATGCAATGTGTCATGGTCAATTGTACCAGAAGATATTAAAGAGAATGTTCGAGAAAAAGGTACACCCTTGAGAGTTTTAAGAAGGGGATTTGGTAGTCAAGAAGATACTCCCTATTCAAAAGAGTCGTATTGGTAAGTGGACTCCAAATTATGAAGGACCTTACGTCGTAAAGAAGGCGTTCTCAGGAGGAGCCTTGATTCTTTCGAACATGGATGGCAAAGACTTATCATATCCTGTGAATTCTGATGTAGTAAAAAAATACTACCATTACAAAAAAAAAAAAAAAAGAGGTGAAAGCTCGCTAGGTTGGAAACCTGAAAGGGCGACCTAGGCAAAAATTAGAGCAGCTCGTTGGATTGAAAACTCGAAAGAGCGATCCAAGCAAAAATTAGGGCAAGATAACTCACCATTAGGCTGTGACCCAAAAAGGTAGTCTAAATGGACATTTGAAGCATCATCCAAACCTTTGAAGTTCCAAGATGAAAAATTAAAACTCTAGGAAGCATATGCCTAGAGCTTTAAACTGGGGTAATTTATAGTTTGCTAAAAGGGTGGTCAGGGTCATTCATAACTATGGAGACAGTCACGTGCTTGCAGCTCTGGGAGAAACGTATGTCTGAAGCTCTAAACTGGGGCAATTAATGGTTTGTTTAAAGAGCAGTCAAAGTTATTCATGTACAATATTAGCATTGTTCATCTAGAAAGTGTTCATCAAAACAGCTATGTACTCTTACCCTCTCCACTCATCCAACAAAGCTTGTTCATGTAAATACATTCTCCTTATTGAGTAAATAGAGTTATCTTCTTTAAACCTAACCATGGTTAATTCATTGTGCATTTTGTTAAACACATATCAAGAGGAAACAAAAATAAAAAAACAAAAACAAAAAGGAATGAGCAGCGAAAGAGAGAAATGGGCATCAAAGGTGTCTTGATAGATCTAGCAATTACAGTAAGCTCATTGAAATTCCACAACTTTAATCCCCCTGCAAACTATTATTGGGGATTGTCAATTGCAGTCAAACTGGAATACACTTTGATAAGAATTCAAATAACAAAAAGAGTTAGAAGGTCTAATCTCATTTCGAACTAGAAGACACACGATTCTGTAAGGGTGACAGATCCCAAATTCAAATTGAAAATATTACTGTAATTTTGAAAAGACTCTCATCTTCATTACTTTCAAAAGTCTTGCATCATGCATCTTCATTGCTTTCAAAAGTCTTCTTCATTGCTTTCAAAAGTCTCGCATCACGCATCTTCATTGCTTTCAAAAGTCTCGCATCATGCATTACTCTTGCATCATCATTACACCACTTTTCATATGATGCATCATTATGCATGGGCAAACACTCTTGTCCAGAATCTGACTAGAACTCTTACTCTTTTTAAAAATAGTTCAGAACCTGACTGGAACTCTTACTCTTTTGCTAAAGTCTAGAACTTGACTGAAACATCTACCTTTTGTCCAAAGTCCAGAACCTGACTGGCATGTCTACTGTTCGCTAAGGTCCAGAATATGACTGGCGCATCCACCTTTTGCTAAAATTCCAGAATCGGATTGGCACGTCTACCTTTTACCCAAAATCCAGAACCTAACTGACATGTCTACCGTTTACTAAAGTCCAGAACCTGACTGGCATGTTTACCTGTTGCCAAAAATCCAGAACCTGACTGACACGTCTACTATTTATTAAAGTCCAGAACCTGACTGACATGTTTACCTGTTGTCCAAAGTCTAGAACCAGATTGGCATAATAACCGTTTGCTAAAGGCCAGAACCTGATTGGCATAATTACCTTTTGTCTAAAGTCCAAAATCTGACTGGCACATCTACTCTTGTTAAAAGTCCAGGATCTGACTGACCCTCTTTTTCAGACCGCAGATAAAATTGATTCACTTCTTTACCAATTTCTTACCATAATAATATGAAATTTTTATTATTCATATCATTGAGTAAGAAATAAATAAAGAGGGGCAACTGTGAATACTGAATTTTATTCGGGTCCCCTCTTAAAATAAATAAATACATAAATAATAAAAATTAAATAAAAATTAAATAAGATTTTAAATTTTAGGTCTATAAGTGATTAGGATTTTAAATTTTAAATATGTAAATATTTAGGTTAGTGAGTAGATTTTAAGGGAAGTGGATGAGATGTTTAAGGAAAATGTGAGAGGTGACCATCAGAAAATTAGGAAGGTGAAACCTCTTTTTAAATAAAAAGAATAAAAAATAAATTAATTAAATAAGATCTAAGGTTAGGAGGTGTGGCTATAAATAGGAAGCTTAGGTCTTTAAAAGGCCACTTTTACACTTCATATTTTTATGTGACACTTTGAGAGCATAGAGAGAAAAAGAGAGAGAATTCTAGAGAGAGAGAGCTCAGGAAACGAAGAAAAAGAAGATAGAGCTGAAAAGAAATCAACTGAGAGCATACCAAGGCGCACCCGAGGTCAACAAAGAGAGTAAACCAAAAGAATTGAAGGTTAAAGCTAACGAAATTCTTATTCTCTGAATCAAGTAAGATTTCCTTTTGTTGCTTGTTCTTCATCTATTATTTGCTCTCATTTCTGCTTGTATATTTTTGTTTATATTAAAAGTCTCGAGTTTTGTTTCTAAATGAAATATCTCTTCATCTATTATTTTGCTCTCATTTCTTCCTTCTGTTCATATTAAAAGTCTAACTTTTTATTTCTAAACAAAATTCTCTTTGTTTTATTATATGTACTTTGCTTGCATCGCTATCTTTTCCTTATTTTGTTAGTTCACATTGAATGTATCACCTTTTTTTAAATAAAGATTGTCCCTTTTTGCAAACCCTAGTCTTCGCGAACCCTAAAAAATTCTAAAAAACAAGCATTGTTTGCTTTGCCTTTGGCCAACCCTAAAGTGTTTTCTACCCAAAAGTGTCTTTTTTTGCAAACCCTAAAAATAATTTTTTTGAAAAATCCCAAGTATTCCTCTTTTAGGAATCCTAAACATTTTTTTTTAACCTTAAAAGTATCTTCTTGCAAACCCTAAAGCATGTTCTACCCAAAAGTGTTATTTTTTGAAAACCCTAAAAATAAATTTTTAAAAATCCCAAGTATTCCTTTTTTACAAAAACCTAAAAAAAAAGAACCTTTTTTAAACCCTAACCATTTCACAAATTATAAAAGTCTAAATTTTTCAAACCCTAAAAATTATTTCTTTCTTTGTAAATCTTAAAAATTTTAATTTCTTAACAAATCCCAAAAAAAAAACTAATTTCTAGATCAAACAATAATTATTTTCTTGTTATTTTGTTGGCTCTTGTGTTTGTTTTTATTGTTCTATATATTTGTTGTTTATTTCTTATTGTATATATATATATATATATATATATATATATATGTATAAATCCAATATCGATAAGGCATTTTGGTTATATATAAAAAAGAGGCTTTTAAATCCACGCAACGGCCAAGTAATTTTGATAGAGTGGTGAATCCACCTTCAACATCGCTTGGATCGTAAGGGTTTATTGAGTAGTTGTATACTAACTTGAACCCCGTGCAAGAGTGGATTTTTAAAAAAATAATAAAGTGAAAATCAAGCTAAAATTTTTTTATCACTTTTGAAACTCATTCAAACCTGATTTTCAAAAGAACTATGTGACAACTTTGATTCTTCCATTGCATACGGGAGATACGTAGGAGCGGGAACCTGACCCGTCAAGTCCCAAAAACTTTTATTTTTTCAAGTTTAAATTATTTTTTAAAAAAAATTAAACTATGAGCAATTCAGAATAATAAAAAAGGAAAACAAAATTTCTATGTTTATTTAAAAAAGGGGAATAAGTAAATAAAATATTAAAAAAATATTTTAAGATTATTTTCATTAATGCCAAAAATGTAAAAAAAAAGAGAAAAAAAAGAAAAAAAAGAAGGGGCAATAAGATCCTATGATTAATCTCTTCTCTCAATTCAAATTAAATTTTTTATGTTTCTTTATTTAAAAAATAAAAAAATAAATATTTACTAAAAAAAATCAAGTTAAATTTTATTTAATATGAAAAATAAAAAAATGAATAATATTTTATAAATAATCCATTTTCCTAATTTAAATTAATTTTTTTAATTCTTTATTTAAAATTAAAAAATATAAAAATGAATATTTTACTTAAAAACAAAGAAAGCAAATTAAATTCAAATTTTGTTTAAATTTATCCCATTCTAAAATAAAAAAAAAAGGAGAATAATATTTTGTAAATAATCCATTTTTCCAATTAAAACTAATTTTTTTAGTTCTTTACAAAAAATTATGCAAAAATGAATTTTTACTTAAGAAAAAAATCAAGTTGATTTTTATTCAAATTTATTTAATATGATAATAAAAAAGAATAATATTTTATAAATATTTCACTTTCTCCATTCGAATTAGATTTTTAGCTCTTTGTTCAAAAATAAAAAATACAAAAAAAGAAAAAAGAAATCTTACTTTAAGAAAAAATAAAAAAATCATATCATATTTTATTTAAATTTATTTAATACAAAAATAAAAGAAAAATAGTATTTTTATATATATTTATTCCTTTAATTCAAATTTTTTTAATTGTATTTCTAAAAAATATTTATAAAATTGAAACTTAAAAAAATTGTTAAAAATGAGAAACAAGATTAAAAAAAATGACAAATCAGAAAAAAAAAATCAATAATTTTTTTTAAATGAAATAAATAATTTTTAAAAGTTGAAATGATTCTTGCACAATTAATTAGAAAGTAACCGTTTTAATCAACGGACGTCGTAAGGTGCTAATACCTTCCCTACGCGTAAACGACTCTCGAGTCCAAACATAGTTTCAAAGATTATTTTATTAAAAGTTTTTTCAATGTTTTTTTTTTAATAAACTTTGGTGGCAACTCATTGTCATGGCCATCCCGTCGTGCCCCCGGTTGTGACAAACATAAGTTGTTACTAAAAATTAAAATGTCAAGTTGATACTACACTTTAGATAAAGATTGTTATACAAGTGCTAGGCTTTGACTAAAAATTGCCAGACAGATACTAGGTAGATAACTAGTAATGATGCATGTTTAAAACATGGCTTATGATAAATTTAGCTTTTTTTTTTAATAATTTCATACATTTTTAAAAAGTTATATGAAATGGATATCATTTGCATAAATCGAAATTTTGTGTAAAAAGTTATGTTTCTTCAAAATTTATTATTATAAAAGCTAAAAATTGCAAAAATTAAGTCATAGCAACAAAACTTTAGATCAATTAATAAATAACTA